TATTCCCAACAGGATTAATTGCCAAAATGACAACAAAAGAGCCGAGCCTGATGAATCTGAACTGAGTAACTTTAAACAGACTAAGTGCCTGCATTGTGCCTCAATGTTTCATGATTACTAGATTAAAGCATTTGTAAAAGATTAAATTTACAGGAAAAACTTCCACAACAGAGTAGTTGAAACTGTAAAAAAAAGATTAGATAATAGTAAACCTGATGTCAATAATTAAGTCGGTACAGTCACAGATCAAGTGGAAATAAAGTTTCTGGTTTTCCGTGAATCTACTGTCCTGAGTGTGTTACTCACATGTTGTTAAAGACGTCAGCTGCTCAATCTGTGACAACTTTTCTCTTCAACGATTAAAAGACCAGCGGAGGGCAGACTGGATACAGGTTCTTCAACAGCTATCAACACTTCAAAAAGCAAGATATCACAAACCCTCTAAACATTGACCCACCATGTAACTCTCACAGACAGTCTGTCTGCGCAGAACAGCAGCATGCACAAACCCACACTGACATTCTCTGTCACTCCTCCTCCTGTGAGTCTGGGCACAAAAGAGCTTCACAGTCCAGCGGAAGAGTCTGACTTTAACTCCTCAGACTCCTCGGAGGAGAGGGAGAGGAATCTCTCAGAACTTGAAGTGGGGGTTTTAATTAGTGTTTAATGCCAATTTAAGAATGATTGAGATTTACCGGGGCCAAAGTTTAGAACTAGAAAAATGAGGTTTAAAGTGCTGTCATACAAAAACAAATTGTCATCGAAAATGAACAGAGTACACAAACAGGCCCAGTTCTAGAAGCCTACAAAACCACTTAGATTAAAGGTGGTGCAGCAGCTACGGCGACCGGCAACAGCACTGAACAATAGCGAAGGTCCCTCATGTGGTCCTTGGTGAACAGAAAGATCACGTTCACCTGTCATGATCATCACAGCATGGATGTAGTAACCACGATCCAAGTCACTGTTGTCATTTCAAAAGCCTTGATAACTTATGGTAAAAAAAAAAAACCTATGCTTGTTTTTTTTTTTTGCATCCATTGAAATGAGGGTGCAGAAATTTAAAATGGGGGTGCAATGCATGCTTTTGCACCCTCGTAGATCAGAGACTGTACACAAGTACAGCCAAGTGTATTTGCTGAGTTCATCACTGGTACTGAACGTAAACACAAACACCAGGGTCTTTCATTCTACAAATCACCGTCAACATGAGCTGACAAAATTAACGGACAGAACAGAACTAGAGCTTCACTTCCCCCTCCATTTCACACAGTTTTCCTGACGTTTGTTTTTTTAAGGTGTTAAGTCTCAACATCAAAGCTTGGACGTGTCGCAGGGTTACATAAAAAAACTTTCAATATAGTAAGAGACACTTGATGTATAAAAGTTCATCTTCAACAGAAAATGGTCATGTACTGAGTAATGACCATAAATCCAGAAAGGCATCCGACCAAGCATGCTGCATTTGTGAGGCTATTTGTAGTCATTTCATGGATTCCAGAGACTTAGAAGATCTGGATTACTCATTAAAATTAAGTTTGAATTAGGATAAGTTAACTTTTAAGGTTTTGCTCACTTTGCAGCAACAGGTCATAAGGGACAAGAGCATCCTTGTTTATGACTTATTTTGATTTGCTCATGAGATGATACACTTTCTAAATCCATGTACGCCTCATTCAATGTGTTCATGGTTTATTGTGCAAGTGTGAAGTTTAGGATCTTTTCTTGCTGTGTTTATGCAAGGTGCAGGCACGACAAGAATCCCTGAGCTGAAACTCCCCCACAGCAGCTGTAGCTGTTTTCTGCGGAATAAACACAATGAACATCAACATCAATCTTTGGAAACCAACGACCACATAGACAAGACTTACCCAATGTTGATCCCAACAAAACATTGGCCGTATAATTTAAGCTTCATGCAATGCCTCGATAAGAAGAGAGGGCAGAAAAGTTGTTGTAAGTTGAGCTCTTTCCTAAGAAAAGCAGTCGCGACGCTGACAACCGAACAACAACCATGGCTTTTGTTTTCTAACACTTGTGAAGATATACATCCTCTCGGCTCTAAAAGCCACTCGGTGAGAGGACCTAATCGCCCTTTCAGCACTAACAAGTGTGAAGCCAAATGATAGATGGACTCCAGTTTCCTGGAAACCCCTTTCTCTCTCGTTTCTGTGAGAGAGAAGCATGTTTGACTGGTGTTTTAAGTGCTATCTCCAAGCTACGCCCGTTTACACTGTGTATCACTCTGGGTGTACTGGAGAATGAAGACATGTCACAAAAAGATATTTATGGGTATCCTCTAAGTCTCATCAAGATTTCAGAGTAGCAATTAAGAGCTTAGGATTGTTTTTGAGTGCATCTCTGCGTATGCTCACTTGCACACATTTTCATGCGTTTCTGCTCCTGTCCAAAGGTGAAGTGTGTTCATTTACGTGAGACAAATGAAGCCTCGACCACAGTATCACCATCATATGACTGAACATAGCAGACAGCTTGGACTGGGCTGGACTTCAGATAAACACACACACACACACAAACCACCTCGACTGACATAGAATGAGAGGAGACTTACACCTGTTCTATTTTAGAAAAGCCTATTTCAAGCTGACTGTGAGGGTGTACACTTTATGGGCAGTGATAAAAGGTAGCCAAGTAACCTCTGACCTTTTGGCTGTCTGGGAGACCAATGAACACCCTAAGGGAGACGTAGGGACATTAAATATCCAGTAAGAAAGTGTCTGCAACGAGCCACTTTGTAATTTTACAAACTGTCATTTAACTTGCTCACAATGCTCGCTTGTTGCCATCACTAAAGAATCCAGTACATTTCAACATCACCACTTCACTTTTTAAAAAAATACATTATTTTGAAGTTCCTGGAGAGAGTGTATTGTATGTATGTATAATATATAATTATTTTTACATTAGAAGAGGCCATTCAACTTAATGAAGCTTGAACAAGTACATTTATTTTAATTCTACTTAAATTATGTCATGAATGCAGAACTTAACATGTGGCTCTGTTTTCTACAATGTGATGTGGCGATTTTACCAGAATAAACATCTGAATACATCCCAATACACTCACAGATGTGTATGTTGCATCCCTCACAAGAGGTGGTAAAGAAGGTAAAACCACCACTGACTAAATCGTCAAAGGGACTGCACTTATCACCTTTCTCAAGGTCTGACCACTCGGAGTATTTCATTCAACCCACATTTATTAATTGACACAGAGGTCTACATGCAACGTTCTAACTATCAGAATATATTACAATGCTCATATTAGCATTATATTAGCAAGCAGCTGATCTTTGCATTAATGGACATCCCACTTAGCATCCTCTACAGGTGCTAAACAAAACCTAAACCACTCGATGTGCTGGACAGCAAAAATCAATGTGAGACGTTGCAGGATGAAATCTACAAATGTCTACGTATGCACAGTAACAGAACATCACGATTCAAAGTTGAACAGGGCAAATCTATAATCATTCACCAGATTGTATTACCCTCTCTTTAACAAAGATATTTGTAAAACATAACCTGACCTGACAAGCACTGTTAGAAATCAATATCAGAGTATCTAGGACACGCGTACAGTTATTCCAGCTCACATAAAAACAAACAGACGATTCTGACACTTTCTGTACTTTGAAGACATAACAACCCAGCCCGTCTGCTACCACGGAGGGCGTAGTATAGCTTCCTTTTTTTGGGTGGCAGAGAAAGCAGCACTTTGGTCACAGAGTGACCACCGCTCCCTCCACAGGAAGGCTCTTGTCCATGCCTGTGGCTCGACCCAGGAATGTCTCGCACTGCACTCGGGTCCCACAGGGCCTATAGCTTCTCAGCGGCCATAATCCCACCACAATTGAATTCTCTCCTTCATTTCAAAATATGATTTACCACCACCATCCAGGACAGCGGGAAACCTCGTAATGCTGATTTGGGTGATTTTAGATATTTGCATGGGGCGAAACAACACTTTAAGCCACAATGTGATGCAAACAATACAGAAAGAAACAAAAAGGCTCAAGCATACATATAACTCTATATACACAACTGCTACCCTGTGTCTTTACCCGTGACACATTCGACACGTGTTTAACTCGTATGTGACTTCAGTTTGACCCTGTCGTGTGGGAGCTTTAAAGAGAAGAAACTGTGAAAAAAGTCTTTAAACTCCATTAGGAGGCAGGATGGATCTTTGCTCCGTGTCACGCACAAACACAACAACAGCTTTGTTACCGAGGTCAGAGTGGTTAGAGAATGTTCATGTGTGCGTTTGAGGGAGAAACTAAAATAGAATCACAACTTCTGTCGAGCACACCACGATGCATTTCAACAGATACATGTACTGTTTATAAAACATTCATCCAAAGTGCTCTTTCACCTACAAGTTCACACGGAGGGAGCCTGTTCAAATACATTTCAGATGCATAATCTACTCACTGACAGCTGATGACGAGCACTAATGAAGCTGTTTGGACCAAACTGATCCAGAGCTAATGGTCACATGCAGAAACATACAACCAATTTGTGGTTCATTTTTTTTATCATGTACTTCCTCAGATCAAGTTAGAAACACAAGTTCTCAAACATTATTGCACATAAGTGGTTATATGGAGCATGGCTGTAAAGAGCTGGTGTAATTAACACCTTGTTAACTCTACAACAAACAAGGGGGGGGGGGGGGCAGTAGGAGGTCTACTTCTGTGTGTAAGTATATGTGTCTGATGGGATATGTATATTTATGACGAATCACAGTGAGTGTGCAACAAGGTCAAAAACTAATCTCTGAGTATGTCTCCTTCATCTATCAGAATCTGAAAGCTGATCGCTAAGATGACACTTCAGGATCTGCATCTCAAACTGCTTCAAGAGGTCACATGTTATAATGTTTGGACTCTACTCCTGCAGTCTGTGTGCTGTACTCATTGTACACAAGATGGAACCTGCACAGTTCGTTGCAAAATCTATAATCCAGCTGCACTTACCGTCTGTGTTGTCCTCACAACTCTGATTAAAGTTTTCATACGAGTCCCAGCGGATCAGGGAGTCCTGCGTGTTGTAGTCAACCGAGACGCTTGGCCCGTTTTCCAGGTGGTCCACACCTTGACCAGAAGTACGAAAAGATGGAGCAGACGACGTGAATGTCATGAGATCACGAGGAAGAAACTCACAAATCACACTCACAGAGTTACAATAGAAGAATCGACTTTTAATTCACTTTAAAATGACTCATTTAAGTTGATTTCTTTTCCTCCCCTTTATGACAAAATTACATTTATGACTGATTGGCTTAATTCAATAAACAATAACCAACCGGCAAAACAAAAAATGTAAACATTACACATACCAGGCAATCTTAGTGAACTGGCTAAGACCTGTACCACCGGCAATGCTCCTGGATAAAATCCAGTCACAGTCATTTTGTAAGTCATTACCCTCCCTCCTTCATGATTCTTGTTTGTACTTGTCAATATTTTGTCGTTAAAAGCTTAAATATGTTTCAAATAAGGATGAACATTAAAATACAACTGGTAAGAAAAGTCCCCGTGCACCAAGAACACCAGACACATTGATTCTCACCATGAATTTTCTCTGGTCCAAAGGAGAAAATAAACTCCACTTTTCCATACTCTGGAAATCTGTCATCTGCACACAGGAAATAGGTAACAAAAAGAGGCATTATTAACTGCACATCATCGATAACTGCTTCATCTTTTCAGCAGACAACATAAAAAGGGAATGCCACCTTTAAGTCATATTTGACTGTTTGCACACAGATCATACTTTCTTACCTTTGAATGTCTCATCGAGTTCGTTCTTCCCAAACACTATCCCCAGGTCATGAACAGCACAGGTGTGAAACTGCACCCTGAATATCACATCTCTGCACGGGCTGCGGTAACGCTTGTGGTAGCACTTTAGCTGGAGGGAGAAGAGAGACAAAATGTTAAACAGAGACATGAACGGCAGTTCACTTGATCTGTTTGACGTTAGATTTTGATCTGTAACGAGTTCCTTTTTTAAACCTTAAGAGTTAATTTTGTAACCTTCGATCTACCAAAAGGTCCTTACTTAATTTCAAAATAAAAGCACGGTTGATATTAAACAGCACGTAAAGTAATCTAATTTTAAGACAGTACAAAAATTCAAAATAAAAGCCTAACAATTTTAATTTTTAAATGCGAAATAATGGAATTTCAAACATGCGATGAAATGTGATAAATCACAATTAATGACTGAAATGTAGCGAATAATCACAATAAAAAAAATATATAGTTTGACAGCCTATGACAGTCTATGTCGTTCATGCCGATGCACTCTAAGTATGAGGTAAACGTAATATGAACCAATGTTTGTGAAACTGAGCCAGAGACATGCCAGCTTGATTCAGTGCTCTCTCTTTCTAACTCAGAGCAACAAAAAACATTTAAGAGCTTTTTAATATATATATACAGTATATCTCTCTCCATGCTAATGTAAAGCCTCTCCACATGCATTATTCTCCAAACTGTTTCTCCCAACACAAACAGCTTTAAGAGCAACACTTAAACTCCACACAGGAAAACTTCCTCTTGCCCTCCTGCTGTGTCCTCGCTGGGCAGCCAGGACCTGTTAGTGTTTTACAAGGACCTCACATTTACAGGTACTGGAGGAATATTTACCCCAGCTCAGCCTGAAGCTCACAAACGGATGCTGGAAAGAATAAAAACTAAGGAACTGAAAACATCCTATACTTGTGAAGTCAAAGCGAGCATTTTTAAGGCCACAGAAACATTTCTTTTGACATATTTCTGTAGATTTGACCAGAAAGCATCGACTAAATCTTGATTTCAATGTGATGTTTGAGGAATGTGGGACTGATTTGCTTTCCACCTAAACCTATTTTCTACTTGTGGGGGCCAAGTAAGACGGAAACATATAACGTTCCCAAATCCAAACAAGCAAATAAAGGATTGAGAGTGAGAGGGAGGCGAAGCAGAATATCCAGTGGCTTAGAGCGGCTTTCTGGGATGAGGAGAACCTCCCACAGAGGGGTCCGTTTCATGAGGGGAACAAAACTGGCGAGCCTAGTATGTGAAACGAAAAACTGAAGGAGTAAAACAGTAATTTCAAGATTACATGTTGCCTTTGGAGGTGTGACGTGTTTTCAGCTGAGACCCCTTCATGAGAAACAAATCAGCTTTAGACATCTGGGAAATTAACTCGGTGCTTTTATTGCCAAGAGTTAGATTAGAAAATGATTGTCCCTCTCATGTCGGTACGCTAAATTTGAAGCTACCGTTAGCCAGCTGCCTGCTAGCTTAGCACGAAGACAAGGACTGGGAACCAGCTAGCCTGGCTCAGATTGCATATGAAAATGTGTTAATAAGAGAGCTTTAAAGGGGCTTGAATGCATCTTGTTTTTACCTTGGTGAGAGGCCGAACTGATTATTCTGATATGACTTTGTTTTGGCTCGTCTCAGTTTACTTTCCTTTGGCTTCAGTTCTTATTAACAGAACAGACATGAAAGCGGTATTGATCTCCTCAAAGTAAATTGACCAAAATCTTGAGCTATTCCTTTTAAGATTCTGACTGATTTTGTATGACAAAATGTTTCTTTTCCTTATTCAATTAACCAAACAAGACCCGATTTTCCTGTGTGATCTAATTGATCTCTAATTACTGCAGTTATTTCCTGGCAGTTAGAAAACCCCACAAACACATGGTGGTGCAGTTTTTAATGCCTGAACACACTCCTTGCTGACTATCGCTTCGTCCTTAAGGCCATATCTTTGTCTTGTCTGCAAAATAACGAGCTTCAGCAGCCACGGCTTATTCTGATGACGCATTCAGCAGAATCCATTAGTCGTCTTAAATAAAGGATGAGATATACTGTGAGTTCAGCTCTGAAAGGGCAAAAACAGAACGGCCTTGAGCACAGTGTAAGTGCTCGTGGGGAAGTCTCCGCGCTGACATTATGAGCTCCGAGGACATCTCATGGATAACATTACGGCCTGAATTACAGCAGAGGTGGAAACTTTGCTGACATTGCACTTTTTCTGCTTGAGCTCCTCAACAAAGGATCATTAATGCCTGTTTTTAGTCAAGGATCCTTTTTAAAGTACACATGGTCGCCAAATTGAGAAATATCTGTCAAAAAGAATAAAAAACATCTATCAAACATGCAGCTTACTCTTAACTGTAATTTAAACTGGTATCCTGTGTATTAGAGACGCTGTTGGACAGGAAGAACGCGGCTGTTTTGACGTCATAGTTTCCAGAAAACATATTGTGTGCTAATGAGGGTCCATAAACCTGAGGTATAGGACCATGTCCAACTGTCTTCCCCCAGGATTTTACAGCCCTCATTCTTATGCATCCTATAAACTGCTACGGCACATGCGATCAGTACACACAGCCAACGTACGTTTGGAAAAACCAACAGGATTCCCTTATTACTAATAAACTATTAAAAAAAACCTATGTATGTAGTCTGTGCATTTCTGCAGCTGTTTTCATTGGCAGGCTAATGCTAATTGTCATTTAACATCCATTTATTTTCCTTCTCTCTGCTAGATGTAAAACACTGGAATAAAGACAATAAACTTTGTCCGTTCTTGGCTTCACATTTCAGAGTTAACAAGAAAAATGTTCCCCAGCTGTGTCTCTAAATTCAGATGTGACACTATGTTTAGATCTCACACATATGCCCCTGTTGTCCAGTTAATCTGTGCACTTCTTACCAGGATGTCCCCTTTCAGGAGAAGTCCAGGTTCAATGGTGATGCAGATGCTGGTCTGGCTGTCCCCCTGGACATTACTGCAAAAGGAAAAAAAAACAACAACATGTTAGAAAACAAACCCGCCTCCGTCATCACTGCTGTTAAAATCATCACAATACAGTCCAGATTGTCTGGGAATAACAATGTGTGCGTGATCATCATCTACATCAATTCCCTCATTTACCACCACAAAGTGTAACCGCGGTGCAGCGCGGAGCTAATTTTGGGTATTAGTGTCACCATGATTGTGTAAGTGGGGGAGTCAGATCAAAGGCTGCAGAGTGCTAATGGTTATCATGTGAGAGAAAGTGGAGGAGGAGGAGGAGGGCGGGCTTTAAGGGGTTTGACAGTCTGGAAGTCTACAACATGTGCACACATAGTTATTGTTCATGCTGTAAATGTGTTTATAGATCTGACACTGTTGGATGGATGACGTATTAACAGATCAACTGTAGCACGCTCGGCTTCACACAGTAGCCATGAAGCCAGCCTTTTTTTTTTTTTTTAAATGACTAAACATACAACAGTTAACTTTGCTCCTTTAACCATTCATGTATTCTTCTTAGTAGTAGCCAAAGTTGGCCAAACTGAGTCTCCTACTCCTTCGTTTGAAAGTTATTCAACTTAGCTGCAATGGATGACAAATTGAAATCTTCTAATTGGTTGGTATAATTGGTGTAAGTGAACAAATAGAACTTCTAGGTATAGAAATCTGGAAAGATGTTTTTCCACTAATAGGCATATCTTATGGTTCTCAAAGACTTAGTAACCTGTCTACTGTATGTTTTAATTGCTTAAATATAGCCTGTATCCTCTCCTCTCCTGTCCTGTCCTCTCCTCTCCCTTCACCTCAGCCCAAAACAACAGCAGTAAAGCACAGAATCCATTATTTCCTGCCTTGCCCTGAGAACCAGCAGGGTCCTCTGACAGGAAACCCCTGCAGGCGTCCACACAGATGCCTGTCTGCTTGTTTCATTGGCTCTCAGGTCACAAATAATAATAGAAGTGATTGAAGGATCTACAGTGGGGAAACAAGAGCCTCGAGCTGGGAGGCTAGCTAAATACAATAATGTGAGGCAAGCACAGAGAGGAAACTGGCAAGAGGGACACTGTATGTGTATATTGGGGGGGGCAGGAGAGTTAAGGGAGAGGCTGTAAAGGAAAATCAGGTTTTTTTTTTATTATTGAGCCATTACGAGCTTGCTATCCCAGGAATCTTGTAAAAGCGTTGGAGTGTGAGCATGCTTTAAGACTTACTAGATCCCAGATGTGTACACGGGCTGCATGGCCTGGTAGATTTTGAGAAAAGGACGACAACCTGGAACAGGAGATTTTAAAGTAAGTCATTTGTTGAGGACAATAAAGAGACGACGAGTGAGTTCATTGGTGTGGATGACACTCGCCTCCTTTGGACTCAAAGTTGGGGATGCCGTGCATGATGACGTGGTGGAGGAACAGCGGTTTGTTGTTGATCTTGATGTGCCCGGAGAGCAGACCGCTGAAGTACTCCACATACCTGAGCAGAGGAAAGAACACATGACTAATGTTTCTGCCAAACTATATCACGATTACCTTTCTGTTTGACAACAAAGGGATCACGTTATAATCCTGTGTTTGTCACAACAAAGAGATTCAATCGTGTCTTCGACCTCAAATGAAAACAAATGACTGTTCTCAGCTTGTCAGCCCTGATGAATGAGCCAACCCGGCTCCTTGTTTTATTCCAAACAGAATAAACGTAGGACTTTAAAGCTGTACTAAACACTTTCCGTTGCACTGATGTTGGATCCAAAGGCTGTGTGTATTTTGAAACTGGGTTGAAAGTAGCCGAAAAGCCACAGAAAAATAACCACGTAACTCTGGAATCCCCGTCAGATCTTTTGTTCTTTTTAGCCTCGTTGGAATCATTGTTTTTGTTTGTCCACCATGAAATCCCACTTTTAATTCATTCTGAAGAAACGGCAGGCAGCTTTTCAGTAAAAAAAAAAAAGACGCCTACAAACTCTGCTTAATCAGAATCAGAATCAGCTTCATTAGCCAAGTATTTAGACTCACATAAGGACTCTGACTCCGGTTTACAGAACTTTCTATGAACAGACTAATTCACAATAAGTGCAGGGATCAGAAGTGCAAAGTCCTGTTTAATCATCATTACAGTTTCTGCTACTATTACACATACGTTTACCATAACTGCAAACATTTTTTAAATCTTATTAATTGTTGTTTTTGCTCTGTTTGTCTCCATCCTTCTCCTTCTTCCTGCAGCTCCCTCTATCTCATCTTCCAAGCCCATCACAGTTTCAGCAGACGGCTGTTCATCATGAGTCTGGTACTCATCACCTGAAGTGGCATTAATTGTCTCAGTGTGCCACTGTACTCTGAAAAGGCGCAAGCCGATAAGCGTTGTGTATTTTAATGCTTCTAGCCCGATGAATTAAAGGCCTTTTATATATTTCTAACCATCCTGAGTACCTGGACCTGGATTATTTATACCTATGTTTTCTGGTCTTGAGTTTTCCTCGACTTTTTTTTATAAGTCTGGTTTTGTTCGAGGTTTCTTCCTCTTAAAGGAAGTTTTTCCTCTCCACTGTAACTTTGCTAAATGTTTCTTAGAGCTCATGATGGATTAATGTTGGGTCTTTGTAGATAATATGACAAAGATTTTTTACCTGTTTTTTTCTAAAGTGTCTCAAGAACATTTTACTATAAACTGGCGCTTTACAAATGAAGATTGATTGATAGATAGATGGTACAAAATAAAAGAGTTGGTAGAGAGCAAAGCAAATGATGCTACAGCTTCTCTTTTTTTCTTCTGAATGTCTTAAGATAAATAACATTTTAAGCTATAACTGTGTCTTTAAGTTGGTTTTTTTGCACCTCTGTGGCTAATAATATCTTCAGACACAACTGTATTATCATAGACGGATAGACGGACATATCTCTGTGAGGCAGTTCAACTTTGGGGTCATACTCGTACTATAAACAAACGAGTGAGTGAAGACTGACCTTTTCTGCGATGGCTGGCCCACAGGAAGCACTTTGTCTTCATAGAAACGCTTCATGGCAAACCTGTCCAGAGCCTGGTCAGCACTGTAACAACAGAGACATTCAGTAAGTGCACACAGTAATGACAACTTTAGAATAGGCCATGCATGCACAATACTTCAAGTGTATAATATAATATAGCATATGCAATTGCAGCCTGTTCATAGTTATTTACTTTAGTGATTTGGAAACCACTGACTTGTATGGAAAATACACCTGCACGTATGAAAAAAACCTTCCCTCAGCAGGAGCACACAACGTCACCACATTTCACTTAACGTTTCAGATGGTCGCTGTCACAGTGTGTTCAGCTTCTGACTGTTTCACTTCTACTTTAGTTTCAAAATGATTTCAGGCCAGCTTTAAACTGACTTGTGGGATAATTGGATTATAGTGAAATCTGATACTTTAGCAGGGAACGGATTGTGTTCACGG